TGCTTCTGTAGTTTGGGCACCCTGTGCCGAAGTAAATATAGATTTAATTGAAAACGTACAAAAAAGGTTTTTATAACATATAGATATCTTACCAAGATATCTATATGTTAGAAAATATAATTCTTATCCATACTTGGTGTCTTACCGGATTATGCTTGAAACTTGCAAATTTGTAACACTGGAACAGAGACGAAAAATGCAAGCATTATTATGATCAACTATATAAAATTCTTGGTACCTAAGATTAACTGAGACTTATGGATCAAAGAAGAGAAGTCAAAAATAAAGATAAAAACGAATACAAGAGGATCCACGCAATAATCAGGCAGAAGATAAGATACGTAGAAACACAATTTCATAGTAAAGAATGTAATGAAATTGAACAGTATGAAAAGAAACACGATACATTTCATCTCCCAAGAAATTAAAAGAGGCCCCTGGAAACAAACGGAAACAACTATCCCAAAGTTTAGAAGACAGAAACGGACACAGAATATTAGATATCAATGAAAAGTTAAAAGAATGAGAAAACTACATTTCTGAATTATTTGAAGATGAGAGAGTGAGGTAAGACGTTCAATACAAACGGCAAAATATGGAAAAGCACTTGGCCCCGATGAAGTAAGTGCTGAAATACTAAAGTTTTTGGGAGAAAATGGAATTAACGCTCTGTGTAATCTCTATAACAGAATTTATGACACTGGAATATTACCAACTGATTGGTTAAAGTCGACATTATTCACAATACCTAAGAAACATCGTCCAAAAACATGCGGTGATTATCGGAAAATAAGTCTGATGAGTCACGTTTTGAAGATCTTCCTGCGAGTAATACACAGCAGAATTTACACGCTGTTAGAGGACAGAATTAGCAATACTCAATTTGGGTTTAGGAGCGGCTTGGGTACAAGAGAAGCCTTGTTTAGTATACAGGTGCTAGTACAGAGATGCAGAGATATAAATCAAAATGTGTACATTTGTGCAATCGATTTTGAAAAGGCTTTTGACAAAGTCTGACATAACAAAATGCTAGAAATATTGGAAACAGCTGGATTGGACGATAAAGATCTACAAATAATTAGAAATATGTACTGGCATCAAGTGGCAAGAATAAAGGTTGAACAAGAACTGTCGGATAAAATAGATATAAAAAGAGGAGTGAGACAAGGCTGTATATTGTCGCCTTTACTTTTTTACTTATATTCGGAGGAAATATTTAAGGAAGCCTTAATGGAGACAACCGAAGGTATTATTGTGAATGGAGTAACCGTCAACAATATTAGATATGCCGACGATACCTTAATTCTTGCCAATTGCGGAGAAGACCTTCAAAATCTAATGAACAAAATAAAACAGACGTGTGATCAGTATGGATTAAAACTCAACGTTAAGAAAACTAAATATATGATAGTTAGCAAACAAAATTATATACAGGATGACGGTATAAAAGTCGGAGATGCCACACTGGACAGAGTAGAGAAACTCGTGTATCTCGGCATTAATATCAATGAGAGCTAGGATCCAACCGCAGAAATTAAAAGCCGAATAGAACAAGGTCTAACTGGTAAGCAGGTTTTGTATGTTTTCAATAAAATTGATAGTGTGTAAAATTTTACACACACAGTTTATTTTACACACTATCAATTTTATTAAAAACATACAAAACCTGTTTACCAGTTAGACCTATTTAGAAGTGTGTACAAGTCTTACAGTCTTTTTCAATTCGAATAGAACAAGCCCGAGCTGCCTTTGTAAAAATGAGAAACGTACTTTGCAGTCACGATATTAGCATTGACCTTAAAGTTCGTATGACATCTTGCTACATCTTTCCTGTCCTGCTGTATGGAGTGGAATCGTGGACTCTAACTGAAGCTATGCTTAAACGCTTGACAGCCTTTGAGATGTGGGTATACAGACGACTACTGAAAATAAGCTGGGTCGACAGAGTTAGCAATGAAGAAGTCCTTAGACGGCTGAGCCAAACAGCACAACTGGTCAATATAATGAAGAAACGCAAGCTGGAATACTTCGGTCACATTATGAGACACACTGAAAAATATGATCATTTACATCTGATCATTCAGGGAAAGATCCAGGGTAATCGTGGTCCTGGTAGACGAAGAACATCATGGCTGAAAAATCTAAGGCAATGGTATGGAAAATCAACTACATCGTTATTTAGAGCTGCTGTCAATAAAGTAACGATAGCGAACATGGTAGCCAACATGATATCCAACGATCGATAACGGTCATGAAACTAGAAGAAGAAGAAGAGTAACTTACGGTTAAGTCATTTATTTTGTAAAACAGACTGCTCGCCCGTAAACAACATGATGGGGCAGTGCAATATAATACTAAAAAAACTAGCAACATAGATATCTTCAACACCATCATCAAAGCAAATAAATCTAGCTTTCTTTTCGCTTCAATCACTTTATCTTAGCATGTAGGTATATCTAATGTCAAAATCCCTACTTGTAATTACATTTTATTCTGTAAAATGTGTTAGTTGTAAAATAAATAAATAAATAAATAATTCCTTCGACTATGCAGTTTTCAATGCCTTGTGACAAAAAATTGTCAAATCGAAATTAAATTTGGTGGTATTGATTAAAAGATCCCCCTAAAATATTTAAACCTCTCAGTCTATTTTAATTATGATTTTTCACGATCCCACGTTGTCTCGCCAATGAATTCCAACCATAAAACCTATTAAGTCAATAAAGCTTTTTCTTTTATTTATACATATTATAATAGTATTACAAACTACTATAAAAATAAGTATTTATCTAGTGCGTAATACCTTTTTAAACTGTTTGTGTTCTAATTAACTTACTTTTTGTTGTTTTTCCTTTGTTTTTGCTGTTAATTTGCAAACGATAATTGTCGATAGTTTATATTATAAACGATAGTATCTAATAACTTTAATGAACTTGGTAGAATCGTATAAATAGAGCCATAATTTTTTATCAGAATACTGTTGGCATTTTTTAAGGTAAGTTATTCAACAATTTTGTATATCGTGCTTGTAGTGCAAAAATCGTTAAGCCAAAAAATTGTAAAAAAAACTTGCTAAAAAGGCAACCTATTATATTTTATGTCATTAAAGTAATAAACATATTGTATTTATTGGGAGCCTTCGTGAAAAGACGAACCGTGAGATCGATTGTGATAAAAAGATTCTAACAGCACAACCCGTGTGAATGAGAAGAAGGGGTAGACCAAAACTGAGGTGGATGGACGGGATAACACAAGATGCCTAGAAGATCGGAGTCTGCAACTGGAAAATGCAAGCAAAGGGAAAACAGAATGGCGTAGAAATCTTGAGGACGATCGAGTCCCTCTAAGGGCTGTAGCACCAAGATGATGATGAGATCATATTGTTTCGAGTATCCTCTTTCTCTTTATATGTCTCTTCTTTGGGGTCTATTATTTATGATATGCAGTCATCTCTGCTGTGATGGTATTGCCCACTTCTATTGTTTCTGTGGTAAGTATCCCAATTTCCTCCATGTCCTTCTGTTGGGTTATGATGTAAATTGTTACTATTCCTATTTTGTCAGTATTCTTGGTTGTCACTGAATCTATTTTCTCCGAAATTCTTATGAAATAGTCCTTGTGGTCTATTCAATTGGTTGTTATTTTAAATCTATTAATGGTTGGTGTTTTTCGATCCCTATCGTAACTACTTCTCTCCTTTCCCTCTTTCATACGTTATTCCCGCAGTTGCAAGACATAGGCTATCCATATCACGGTAGTTTTGTAGCTTAACATATTCTTCCATTACATTCCAGCCAAAATTGATTTTGATATGTCGCTATAATTTTAGATGAACAGTTATTGCGTTTCTCGTATAACTTTCTTCACGAATTCTTCAACTTCTTTTTTTGTTTCTTCCTCATTTGTTTGCATAGCTCTTTTCAGTTTCCAGTTTACCTTTTCTATGGCCTCTTATATTTTATTGTGTTTACTATTTTCCACATTTTTTATTTATTTTTGTAAATTCTCTTTCGTTGACTTTCTAATTTTATTTCTGTTTCCTCTGCTATTTTATCGACTTTTTGTATTTATTGTGAATTACACCCTGGATTCTTATGTAGAACTCATTTGCTAACTGTCTGCCTTAGATCTGCTCCCAAAAACTAGTATAGATCTCCCGTACCGAAACAAACACCTCAACACTCTGGATACTGAGTTCTCCTAATGCAAGTTTAAATTAGTTGTACTTACAGATGCTACTGCTATGAAACCTGCTACCGTTGTCTCATTCAGAGTACAAGAAACCAAAACTGTTACAAATTACCCAATATTTCCTGTATTTTCAAACAACCCAAAATTCAATTTCTGTCTTGTGTCTGGAATATGCCAATTATATATTTTTATTTTTCTTTCAGCAATCAACAACTTAGCCTAAAGTAAAATTTTCTCTTTTACCGGCTCTTCAAAACAAACATATAGCTAGTGGTCCAGACTTTTCAAAGCATACTTAAGCTTATTTTAATATTCAATTATTTTTAAACGAAATTTTTCCAATTCTACTTAAATTAACTTTCTATCTAATGTCTTAAAATATATCTAGTTACAATCTAATATTTGTTCTTTGTATATAAAATCACTTTTATCAGAAAGAATATTTTAACATGCACTGATCACTTGCTTACATCTAGAAATAAAATCTTTGCCAAAATTTTCTTCTTCTCCGGATTTCAAAAACTTAATAAAACATATTTGTGTTTACATACATTTTTAACACTGTTTAATCTTACCACGAAATTGTTTTATTTAACTTTCAATAAATCCACATTTCTTTTAAAAAAGGAAGGTCTCTGGGATATACCTTAGTAAGATTTTCTATATATACTATACAACTCTTCGTATATATTTTATATACTCGAAGGAACTTATCTTAAAGTAGGAATACTTGTGCGCTCACTTTAATGCGAGACGATTTTAAATTTTCACCATGTACAAAATTTTATTTAAAATTCTAAGTAGATTTATTTTTTAGTCGATATTTAAAAATGAAGTATCTATTAATCATTCTGGCCTCGATGGTATCAACTGGATTTTGTGCTATACGTGAAGAAGTAAGTAGATTTATTTTACTTTTTTTTTTAATATTTGCTAAGTTCGTTAACAAAATCTATTAACCCCATTGTCCTCTTGTGAGGACAACTAGAATTTTTGTTATATCCAAGAATGTAACTTTTGCTTACTATCTTGGAATAAAGCCAAAAATGTAGCTACATCAATTGTGTTTGGATATATTCATTCAGGTTTATGCAATGAATAAAAAAATTGGTTATTTTTAAACGTAATGACTTCACAAAGATTTCAAATACATTTTTACAAATAAAAAATAGTATTATTTATTCAGTTTTAAAGAAAAATATAATAAATTTAGTTGATAAAATTTGGTTGAGATTGTCGTCCTTAAAAAAGGACAATGGGAAAAAATTTAACAAAATATTCTCATTGGCAAAGGAAGTGAAAAACTAAGTACAAATTCTAACACCAATTGACTAGTAACATTCGTCTGTTGATAAATGGTAAGACGACACCAAGGAAGAACAAAGTGAGAGTACAACGAAATGTCGACAAAGAAGAGGATGTTCTTGGTACTTCCTTTTGCCTAGAGTAGATCAGAGGTGCGATCCACCAAATGAAAGATAATAAAGCGGCTGGCCTAGACGATATACGAACCGAACAAATAAAGCATTTTACAAGCTCTAGATTGGCTCGTAAAAATGATGAACTGTTGCGTCCGTACATTCCACATCCCCAAAATCTGGAGGAATGCTAGAGTGGTGGTCCTAACAAAACCAGGAAAGGATCCGGCGAATACAAAGAGTTTTAGGTTTGTCTCTCTCTTGTGTCATCTTTTTAGGGCGTTTGAAAGAATGATACTAAACCGGATGGCTGAAACTGTGGACACTAAAATTATTCCTGAATAAGCAGGGTTTACACCTGGAAAATTCTGCTGCAGTCAAACTCTTAATCTTACCCAACATATTGAAGATGGGTTTGAACGGAAAGAAATGACAGGAGTATCGTTCATAGACTGCCGCCTATGACAAAGATAACCATCAACGGCTGATGGTAAAACTCTACGAAATTACAAAGGATTTCTGACTAACAAGATTAATGAAATGGCTCCTCCAGAATAAACGCTTCTACGTAATGCTCCAGTCTAAGAACAGTCAGTGAAGGGAGCAAAAAAATGGACTACCACATGCAAGTGTCCTCGCAATATTGGTATACAACATGATACAACTGTGGCAGCTCAGGGAAGTACTTTCAATGAAGTCGAAGTAAACTGGCAGAAGCCCTAGAAAACTTAGCATTATACAATGACGAAAACCATCTGAAACATTAGAAAACCTTAAAAATAAGCATGCCCGAAGGACACTGGCGGTAGAATGGAGTGGTCAGATGCTGGAATACAATGAGACACCAAAATACCTTGGCGTACGTCTGTATAGAACTCTGTCTTATTGATATCACAAATAATATCATCCGCAAACTTGCAAACACAAAATGGGGAGCATAACCACACACTCTCCGTACCTCTACCTTACCATTACGTTTTTATGCCGCTGAGTTTGGTGTACCAGTGTGGGAGAACTCTGCTCATATTAAAAACGTCGATGTTGCGTTAAACGAAACAGTTCGTATAATATCTGGTTGCCTAAAACCGACACTATCATGTACAGAGATAAGAGAGACCTGCACAGAAGAAGACCTATTCTTAGCGAATGACAGTGCCATCTATGTGGCCAACCATTGGAAACACAAAATTGAAAGCTGTTGGTGTTCTGGACACGGAAAGTAAGTAAGTAATAATATTCGGAACAAACCAAGGCTCGTATACAGAGACATCCCAACCTTGACAGTTAGTAGCGGCCATATTGTTGAAGCTACATGTGTTAAATTAGCAGTCTTCTTTTAGTTTGATTTTTAGAATAACTGTAAATAGATATAGCTTACAACGATACTTAAAATTGATAAAACTGGTTTATTAAAATTGGTCATCTTAAAACAACGTTCAGCGCACTTTGTTCATTTTACGACTGCCATAATTGACGTGTCAGGAGGATCATTCGCAATTTAGTTGATAAATTTAAATCCATTGGTTCAGTAAATAAACACCAGTATGTCGAACAAACGCAAGACCTTTCGAGACATTGCTACTGCACAGCAGTGTGCAGGATAATTCACGAGAATGCAGGTGAAGTGTGCACCAACGACAAGTAGGTTTAAAAGAACAGCACTACACTTCATCTAATTGATATAACGATGCACGTCATCGGCGTTATAGCCTGTGACGTCATATCATACCAACACGAAATATTTAGGGTTTAGGTGTGTTCTTTTTAGAATCACTTTACCGAGTACACTCGCATTACAGCCACTAGGCATATTTTGTTATATACGCGTAGAAATAATATTTAAAAATTTCTATTGATGTTAACTTGAAGAAATACATAATAATATGTTTCATTTAATTTGTATAAATGCATTATAAAGCGTTTTTATCAAGAACATTTGTTCGAAACACACTGTAACTGTAATCGAACGAAGGTAAAATTTTGGCATAAATTGGTAACACTTATTTGACAGTTGCGGTGTTGACACTTTTTGTACTTAATTATTTTGAATTTTAAAGTGAATATCTCTTGTTTTATATTTTTAACTATCTAATAAAATCTGTTCTTTTTAGAACAAAATTAGTGTGTTTTATTTCAAAAGTGTCACGTAAGAATTTAAATAGTCGTTGTAAAGAAATGGTAATACTTTTGCAATAATTATGTAATCTATTTGATTTAAAATGGAGGCAGGATTTTTTTATACTTTGGCAACTATGTCAACTTCGATCTCTGACGTAGATAATGACGTAAGTCGTTATCTAAATTAGATGAAGTATATGTACCACAGAACTCGTGTTACATTGAGAATTCTGCACAAAATATTTTAGGGCATTATCGTGTCACGTGGTGGTTATGTGAGCTAGCCACGGTAATCGTACGATGTAGACTCTTTTTTTTTTTCGAGTTGTCTTTATTTAATTTTACATTTTTTTTTTAATCATAAGGATCTGGGCCCTGTCCTTAAGTCCAAAATTCCTGATTGGCGGAGCAAATGTCAACTTTATACCGGAATTTCAGATGAAAAAATCGATCATATGATTGCAGGAAACTTTCCAGATTGTGATGAGGCAAAGGTAAGATACGTCATTTATTTTTATCTTTATTGATCAAATATTTAAAATACCATCGTTCTCGAGAGAACCATTTCCGAAGTGGAAATTAAAACGTCAATAAACGTATTTTTATCTTTAATTGTGGCTTATTCTCAGTTCAATAGTAATTAATTTACAATGCCACAACAAAATAGCTTCAGAACAATATGTAAGACAGACAGTGGACACTCCGAAGTAGAACTTCAATAGTTTTATAAATGATAGTACTAAGCAGCTATACCTACCAACAACGACTGGATGAAAAACTACGAGAAACAGAGAGACAAACATTTTCAGATATTTACAAGAATATTATTGCTAGTTTACACCAGGCCTCTAAGGAAACACTCGGGACACAGCAAAACAAAATTAGTAACAAAATATGGTGGAACGAAGAAATCGAATATATGGTAAAACAGAAAAGAACAGCATCTAAAACGGCTAAATAGAAAAAATACTGAAGACCAAAAAGCTTACAAAAAACCGATAGACAACTACGAAAAATGATAAAACAAGAAAAGAATAATACATGGGATCACAAATGTCAAAAAATCAATACATACATCGGAGGGAAGCAATGTACAGAAGTATGGAATTTTATACAATCAGTAAAAAATACAGGAAAAGATAAAGCACACATACACACCATAAAACCAAGACAATGGAAAGATCACTATGAAAGCTTACTGACAGAGACAAGACAAGAATACCTAGCGAACTCCCCAACACAGTCAACACATATACAAGGAGAGGAAGCGAGGGTAGACATCGAAACAGTAAGGAAGGCTGTAATGACCCTAAAGAATGATAAATCCGCTGGATAGGAAATCTATGCCGAAATTCTTCAGAATGGAACTCATAAACCATTTGAAAACTTAACTTATGTAATCAATCAGTGTCTAAATGGACACCCAGTACCAGAACAATGATGTCCTCAATACACAAAAAGGGGGACAAAAGGAATTGTAATAATTATATTAACATATCGGTAACCAGCACCCTGAGCAGACTGTATGGACGAATTTTGAGAAATATGATCGAGGAAGAATATAAGCACAATGAAGAGGAAGAACAAAGCAAGTTCCGTGCTGGAAGATCGTGCACCGATAACGTATTTTGTCTAAAACAAATAATAGAAAAAAGATCGGCTAAGAATCTCGAAACTCATATTAATTTTGGAGACCTTCAAAAAGCATATGACAACATCCCCTTAACAAAATTATGAACAACGTTAAAAAGATCTAACATCAACCACACATTGATAAATGCTGTACAAGAACTATATAGAGATTCAAAGGCACAGATAAAAACAGGAAAATATCTAACGGAAGAATTCCTGGTTACAAAAGGCTTGCGACAGGGATGCTGTATCTCACCAACCTTATTCAAGATATATGTTGCAGCAGCATTGGAAATATGGAAAATAAAGGTGCATAGGATGGGTATAAGGCTTAGCAATGAATGTATATATACACTCCAGTTTGCTGATGACCAGGTAGTACTAGCGACTGACAGAGAAGACAAGCAGTACATGCTTAGAAAACTGATAGAAGAATATAACGACTGGGGAATGAATGTCAATACAACGAAAACCAAATATCTTTGTATTGGAAACGAGTCAGATAATATAGACCTCAAAAACGGACAACATATTTCCTGCTGTCAGAGCTATGACTACTTGGGTGTTGCCTTTGACAATACAGGAACTGATACTCGGGAAATAGGAAAACGAATCACTCAAGCAAAGAAAGTCTTAGGATGTCTCAATGGGATACTGTGGAGTAAAGAGATAACGAAAGGAAGAAAATTTAATATATATATGAGACTATGATGTCTAGATAGACTAAAACGTCATTCGCTTTGGCTAAGTTTCTCCATATCTAGTTTTTGTGCGTTTTTGATTTTCTTTCTGGTTTCAAATTGGCTGTTAATTTGTATCTTAGCCTTCACCATTCGGCGATCGCTGCCTGTTGTGAAACGGTTTAGCACTGTGACATCCTTGACTACGTATTTTTGTGTTGATAATATGTAGTCGATCTCGTTCTTAGTTCTGGTATCAGGGTTTATCCAGGTCCATTTTCTCTGTGGCTTCTTGTTGAAAAAGGAGTTCATGGCGTAGAGTTTCCTTTCCTCCATGTAGTTCATCCGGATTGTCCCTCTTTCGTTTTGTATGCCATATCCATATTTTCCTATTTTTTTTTTAATATTAGTAAGTATATTTACTTTTTTAAATTCATATTATAAATTATATATATTAATAACGTTTTTATTATTCTAGAGGTACAACTATTGTATCTGGAGTATCGAAAATTTCACAGTAAGTATTAATGTCATTATATACATATTCTATATATTAAAAATTTTAAATGCATACAGTAAAACAAAAAGTTTAGTACAAATATTTATAATATTCGATATTCGGTGAATATTATTGTTTACTATTTAAATACATGACAAGAAACGCTGTTTAAAATAATCTGCTTTATATCCCAGTTCGATGATATTTTTTTAAGCTTGGTCCTTTTTCGCATTAGCCTATAGCCTGTTTTTCAATATTTTTCCAGTATAAACATTATCAGTACCTAGTATACATTGTTCGCAGTCATGTACTAATCACTGTATTGTAGCATAATAAATTTCTCACTTTAAAATTGTCTAAAGACGTCCCTGGTCCGAGTAATGAGGTTTAAATACTTTATATATTGCGTTTTATTTCCACAATTCGGTAGGTCTAACGAATTTAGCTAATTCGGTGGTATGCAGCAGGACGCGCCGGGGAAAAAGTGGATCTGCGTTTGGTTTGAAATCGGGCGATGTCAAGTTTAGGTTTGAAACTAATGCGGTAAGAGGCGCACGCGTCAAAGATTGGCGGAAAGTAGTAGAATTTACTCTTTGTGAATATGTTAGTTTAGACAAGAATAATCACTACATATTTTCCTAAGTATCTAAGAAATTTGTGTACCAGAATTCTGAAATTGGTTCCAGATTTGTAAAACCACTAATTTTGTTTCCACCTCACTATGTTTGTCCTCGACTGATCAACGTTTTACACCATAGAAGCCGCGATAGAGACATCTGACAGAGAGTTTAACCCAGTTCTAGCTCCAGAAATTGTAGTATTTTCAGTTCTAACCTCAGAAATTTTTAGTGCATGTTTTTTCTGAAATCAAGGAGGAAAGAGTCTTTTTTTCTTCATCCAGCAAGATTAGTATCCTTCGAAGTGGCGTCTTTTTTTTTCAAATAGCTGGAGGTCTCTCTTGTTGTTTTTGTTTGCCCATTTGTTCCAGGAGATTTATGTAAGTACCCTTTTTGGTTTCATTTTTGCAGTTGCCACAATCCAACCCTTTGTCATTCAACTTATCCACGACCCCGGATCTCCAATAAAGACCTGAGTGCCGTCCGCATAAGTTTTGTTTATTTTGCTTGCCCTATCTCTAGCCCAATAGTTTTTGTTTCCAATTTTTAAGCCCCATAATCATGCTCTATATGGTAGGCAAATATATTCATTACAGTATAAGAGAATGATATCTATTTTACTTGAGAACCGTCTGTTATAAAACAATTATACTGCATTCAATTAGCTTACTGTATATGCTCCATTCATTTATGATACTATTCCAAAATTCCTGATAATCGAAAGTAGAGCTTTATTCGAATTATTATAAACCCGACAAATGACATAACGCAACGAATCGTCACTCTGCGATTGACAAAGTATGATCGTTTTAAGAGGCTGCTTTGTGATAAAACTATTAGGTAATGTTTATTATCTTTAAAAACTAATTAGATTTATATTTTTAGATTAACAAAAAGAGCAAAATGTGCCCTAAGAAAATAGAATACGTTTTACCGCCAAAATACAAGGCTGATTCACAATATTTTCTTAAATGTAATAAGCAGCATGTCGTAGAAGGTTAGTTTAACCACTAAGATAAGCTTAATACAGTTTAATATAATTGGCATTTATAAATAAATTTAAAGAATATTAGTTCTTAATAACGTATAAAAATAATGTGTTTTAACATTGTAAGAGGAGAAGGTACAAATATGAGCTATCGCAATTAATATGTTATACACACCACCATCTATACGTCAATAGCTTGACTAGTCACTCTTTAGTCTAAAATAATAAATAATTAAAGCTTACAGTGACCTAGGTCCAGCGACCGTTGAAACAATCACATGTTAGTGTTGACGCTGTTTAAGAAAATTTTCAGGTATGTTTTTATTTCAATTTTTTTTTGGTGAAAACTAAGACTAAATTTAATATTTTATCACACATCGTAAGCGAAAGGCTATTTTCATAATATTTTCGACTTTTTCTTTTAATTTGTTACATTTTAGTTATTAATATTTGAATATATGTTTGGTTATGATAGCAGGAAATCTGCTATTCAAGCTGTAAGAGATAAAACGATAAGTACATTAAAAACAGCTAAAATTTAGAATGTCCCGAGATCGACAGTATAACAATTAGCAAAAATGACTGAACTAAGTCCAGATGAAGCAGTATTTAAGTAACTGGGAAGAGGAACTATTCTTGACCCAGATGTAGAAAAATGTTTGGTGGACTATATCCTTCAAATAGAAGCAAAATTATATGGTTTAACGCAGACTGATATCAAAAAGCTGGTAAAGGTTGGCTAGATTTGTTCTTAGCGCGTTATAAAAATACGTTGGCTTTAAGGAGACCAACTGGAACGTCTTTTGAACGGGCAGCTAGCTTTAACAAAGAGAATCTTCAAATATCTTTTGATCATCTGGAGAAAGCATACGATAAATACAATTAATCAGGTTTACAACGTAGGTGAAACAGGCCTAACGATTGTGCAAAATAAAATTGCAGTAATAGTGGGGCGCAAAGAAAAGAGACAAATCGCATCGCTGACTTTAGCTGAGAGAGGATCATTTATCACTTTAATGGCATGCATTAGTGCTGGAGGAAATTTTATCTCACCTAGGTTAATCATTCCAAAAAATGATATCTATGAATGTGCAACTCATAAAAAGTATTTCTCTTGGATCGATATCAGCTGTTCATCTTAGTGCTTGGGTGCAGTCTAGTTTATTTACATAGTGGTTTAAACACTTCGTAGATACCGTTAAACCCTCTAAGGAGTTTCCTGTACTTAAGGTATGATCAATCTGTCAAAGGAGAATAACATAGTTATAATTTCGTTACCTCCACATTTAACACACAAACTGCAACCGCTAGACAAAACTTTTATGAGAACGCTCAAGGCATACTACAGCGAATAAATCAGGCAATGGTTACGTCATAATAACCGCGCCCTCTCTAAGTACGATATTTGAGAACTTTTTGGCAAAGCATACCTTAAAAGTTAAACTGGAGAAATTGCTGTAAATGGATTCCGCATCACTGAAATCTATCCATTGAATAAGACTGTGTTCTCAGATGGAGATTTTATTGCAGCAGAAATTGAGGATAACAACCACAGCCATATAAAACCGCAAGCTATTGAACCTGCTGTCCTATCAAAAACACCAGAAGCAAGCAATACCAGTGAACGTCCTTCTGGTTTGCAGAAGTTTGTAAGTTCGCAAGCTATTGAATCTGATATCCTACCCAAAATACCAGAAACCAGCAACATTTGTTAACCAGATCCTTCTGGTTTTCAAAAGTTTGTATTATAGCTGAGTCCACAAGAGAGGTGACTAAGAAAAAAAATTTAAAAAAAAATCAGAGAGGCGGCATAAAAAGGGAATCGAAAGTTCTTTTGACAACGATAGTGAGCAGGAATTTTAACCAGCTGATGAAGATATGAATTTGGAAGAGATTTCTGGTGTAATGGATCCGGAAAATTCGGATGTAACTTCTGTTTTCTGTGACGGAAAATTTTGTGAGGATTATCGAGGTGAAAAAAAGTGCCTTATGTGCAACTTGTGGGCACATACAGATTGTTCTAGTGCAGAAAGAGATGAATATGTGTGTTAATATTATAGAAAAAATTATAAAATAAAGATAAAATTGTTTTCTAGTAGCCCATATTCATATCACCTTTCCGTTTCTTACTTAAATGACACCGGAAGTGTTTTTATGACATTACAGAAAAAAGTATCTTACTAGGCAGAAAAACGGCACAAAAGAGCAAAACAATTCTACATGCCAATTATTTAATTTGAACTTTTTAGATAAAAAAATAGTCAAGATATCAGCAATAAACAAAATGGTAGCCCATATTTGTATCCTCTCCTATAATATTTTTATTTGGTTATGAACTTCCAAGCAGGAATCGTTTTGGTATAAGTTTTTGACAAAAAAAATTAATTATTATTAGGTGTTAATAAACCTTATATTTCAGATAATTCAACGACAAGTATAGTTGACAAGTTCTATAATATGCAGATGTGTGTCAAGAAATGCGTTCCTGATTCGGTAAGTTGCCATTATTAAAATTGATTTAACGTTTAATGCAAGTAAGTTAACTATCAATTAACAACGTAAAAAGAGTAGCGAGAAACTGTCTGTAAGCGCATCAGTATAGAGAACATTGGAAAAAACTGACGGAGGCTTATGTTCAGCAGTAGATGCGATTGGCTAAATGATAATTAAGTATAGAGTAAGAATACGTATCCATTTCAATAAAATCAATTAACAATTAACAATTCGCTAAGGATTTCTGCTTAGTTGTAAAAGACATGTAGTGGAATGCAAATTTTAGACTCCCCATGTCCCTTTTAACATCTTTTATCAACGTCTGTTTGCCTTGCAATTTTTAGAAGGCTCAGATTATAAGCAGAAATCTGAAATGTGTTTCGAAACTATTTTACGGATTTTATAATTAGATGTCGCTATCGCGTCCACATTGAAGCCATTTTATTGTTGCTTCTTAAAAGACAGAAAATATTGATTTTTCACGTTGAGAACACCTATGAATAACTGTTCTGATGAGACCTATTAGGTCGAAATACGTATCAACAGATACATAGGAGTTGTTTGCGTGAAATCAAATATTTGCTGTCTTTTTCATTGTCTTTTTCATTTTCAAATCAATTAAATTTTTTAACATCTCATATAACATGGTAAAAATAGGAAACATAAAGATATATTTTGCTTTGATAGTGAAAAACCAGTTTTGTTTTTTTTGGATAGTCCTCTCACGCAGCGAGAGTTGGAAGCTGAATTGCAAGACCTTTAGCCAAATAAATCGGATAATAATTCTGATAAATCAGAAAGTGAATCTAAAATAGAGGATCTCGTTTTATAAGTATTCAGTCCATCTGAATCAGAGGTCGTACCATCAAGCGAAAATGACTTGCCATCCAGTAGTAATTAAAGAAAAAGAGTTCTGAAAAGATTTATGAGTTGGAAAAACATTTTACTTCATTGTTTTTAAGAAAAGAAAGTAATGGCCCTAAAATTGTAACGATATTTGACAACATCTGACCACACAAAGACACGGAAAGACATAAAACTAACTGACAGAAGAAAACATAACAATACGTCCGCTACATATTCTCAATAAATCGGCCTTAGCCAGGAATACACCAACTCGTATCAATATTTTCTTTTACTTATACACAAAAAAGGACTAGGGAAAAAACATGGAGAAACACGGGACTAACAGACAGAAAGAAAAGAACAATACTCCGCTTTGTCACTAACAAATCGGCCTTAGCCATAAATATACGAAGTCGTATCATCATTTTCTCTTACTTATAACACAGAAAAGGAACAAAGAAAACACGGGGAAACTCGGAAATAACAGACACAAGGAAAATAACAATACTCCGCTTTGTCACTAACAAATCGGCCTTAGCCATGGACAAGCGGAGTCATATCATCATTTCCTCCTACTGATAACACAAAAGACAACACGGAAACACTCGGACTGTAAAATCAGAACAACATTTTCTTTTTCGAGGCTTAAAAAATTTTCACACATTGCCTGAACTATAAAATCTACATAATATCTATCAAGCAAAAATTTTCCTTTTATTTTTGCACGAAATTGGGTCATCAGACTATCTCAGCTGATTTAAGACTCAATAATTATATAAACACAGAAAAGGAAAAAGAGCAACTTTATACGAAGGTCAAAGGCTTGCCTACGAAATTTAAAAGTATGAGAATATTTCAACGTAACTTTACGAACACTGAACACAAAAGAAAATGGAAATCGAAGCATTTAACTTGGGATAGGGATGATTTAACGAAAAATTTGATAAAACAAATAGACAATATAACAAAAACGGTTTGAAACAAACTCAACGAACTAAACATACAGGGGGGACAAAAATACTGAAACAATATTTGGGTGAAAGCAAATACACAATGTAACTAAAAAACTGGTTCAACACAACTGACGTAATAAACTACACATATAGGGTGAGACAAAGATACTAATAATATTGAAAACTTTACTTTTGAGTGAGCTACACAAAATAACACAAAATAAAACACCTTGCTCTTGTTCTGAAAACTAAATGAGACTGCTCCTAGGCAAAACTAAACAGCACCTCTGATGGCGAGTATTACACTGGTCGTCATTTAGATACAAGACAGAAAACACAAAAGGGGACTCAGGGGAACACAATCTCCTATTAATCCGTGGCATTACATACGCCGTCAAAGCTGGTTAATTAGGGAACAACAGGGAACACAGGGGACTACTCTTCACATTCACAATCTTCTACTAACCCATGGCATAACAATGCCGTCAGAGAAGGTTAGTTAGGGAACAACAGAGGGACACAGGGGAACACAGGGGACTAATTCTGGTTCAGAATCTCCTACTAGCCCCTGGCATTAACAACGCCGTCAAAGAGAGTCTAGAAGGAAACAATGAAATGGCTTAGGAAAGATTTGAATTTCTTATAGAATGTTAACGCTTTGATAATAAAATGTCTAGACCAGACAGAAAATAAACAGACCTATTAGCAGACAATCATAAAATATGGGATGATCTTATACATAACTGCAAAACGTCCTATAAGCCCAGATAGTACCTAACGATCGATGAGCAGCTACAGGCTTTTAGGAGAAAATGTCCTTTTTGGATCTATACCCCAAACAAGACAGCCAAATATACACTGAAAATAGTAATGTTTTTGTGACGTAGGTACCAAACATATGTTCGATGAAGAATTGTATTAAGAAAAGAAAATTAAAACCAATGAACTGCCTCTTGGAGAATAATATGTAAAACAATTAACTCATGGTGTCTACGGAAGTAATCGTAACATAATCATGGATAATTGGTTCAAGTCCTGGGATGATAAATCTCAAAAATCGTGAAATCGGTCATTCCTTATTTTGCTTCGATGGTGAAAAACCAATGGTATCCTATAAGATAGAAGTAAAAAAATATCTGCTTCTTCTGTCGACAATCTATCTACAACCATCCCTATTGCCCTATTGTGTCAAAACGTGCCATTGTGTCAATTTTGTGGTGACAATCGCGCCCTTTGTTGTAAGCAGTGTAGTTCGGAAATGTAGAGTTTATGATTTTTTTGTGATTTTTAGGTTTTAGAAACATCTCTTTGTTTAAAATAATTTGTAAAATAAGAATAACTAAAATACTTTTTCAGTGACAACATTTTTTTCTCAGCATAGTAAATTTTACGATGGAAAATAAAAATAAGGTTAGGGGTTTCTAAGGTCTAGGGTTAAATTCTCATTCTAATTTGTGATGTCAAAGAAAGAAGTAGAAATATAAATATTATGTTTGTTTTCGTTTTAGCTGCTTATTAACTCAAATGACCTTAGCAGCATCTTTAATATTTTTATATCAGCTTTTTTTGCACAATTTTAATATTATGTACATATTTTTTATTAATTTATTTGTATATTTTTAGCACTACATTTATTTTTAAAAATGCATTTCAAAGGATGGATGACCCAAGAAAAGGACCTTATTCATATTTTAAAAAATAAAATGCCTTGTGTACAAATCTTGTTTGATTTTCTAGATTGTAGGATATGTATCTAAATATGAAAGAAGAAAATAAATACCTCAATTTTATTTTAAAACACGATTTATTTTACATAATTCAATCCAATCCAATTTTCATCTCCAATGAACAAATTACCTGAACAAATTCTGTACAGGAACAAAGGAAAAGCATTTCTATAACTAGGTTGGACGATCAAAGACGCAAATCAGGTTTGGTGGAGGAGCAAGCAGAACGACAAACGAAAGCTGGTGGGGACACTCTATATACAGCTTTCAAATTTCCATTAGTTTCCGGTATACTGCACAAATCTTATAGTGTTTTAAAATGCCATTTTTGCAAAAGAGTAAATCATCACCTTGACCGGTCTTAAGACATTACACAAAAAAATATCGGCTGTTGATTCAAAGCCGCCAAAAGTCTTCTTAGTTTTCATGATTCTGCCTATCTCTCTTATTTGCGTTAGATTTTACAAATTCAACGCAAATCAAATTTCCTCACGTCTTGGAATCAGGCGTCTACTAATCTAAAAAAATACAAAATACCTCTCGATACTCGTTCTTAACACCAAACCGACAACAAACAATCTTTAAATATTTTACTAAATAACACGTATTATATTGATTATTTTAACGTCCTAGTTTTAACTGAAAAATTTTTTTACCTAACAATGTAACAGAGAATTGGGAAATTTTAATGTATACAAAATTTGATATTAAGAATCTCAACTTAAAATGCCATAATATATTGATCGTTTTAACCCTTAACTACCATGACCAAAAATAGTAACATGTGTGCCATGGTAGGGTCAAATTTGATCCCCCACTGTTCTTTGTATCAAAAAATATTCTTTTTTTAACTTGTTTTATTTTAAATTAGTTTGTTTACAGCTACTTTTACATTTATATAAAAATAAACGAATTTGGTTAATTAGATATAACTTTATTTAAAAAAACTTTTGTATTCAGTCAAATTAACATAGCTATGCACTTTCTCGAATTATAAGAAAAATAATAACAATGTGCAGTTTTTTTATATCCAATGGTGAAATCTAGGTATCATAGCTCCTACCTAAAATAAAAAAAATCGATTTAGATTTCGTATCTCAAAAATGACAAGCATGATTTTAACTTAATTTTCAACACAGCTTATGCATAACGTCTGTATGCGGGAATGATTTTTGCAAATAAAATCTCGACATTTATCGCACGATGAGCTTTCTTTCTTTTGGTTTTTGGAATATGGACATATTTTACACCTTCCCCACTTTCTGGGTCGTTGTGGCTCTGGATTTGCGGCAGGCATTGGTTCCTGAAGTCCGGAAACTTTAAAAATGGCACTACGAATTTTTTTCGGTGAACAAGTTTGCTGAGCTCTACGAGTTAAATGGGCCTTAATAAGTTCTTAATCTAAAGTGGTTAGAAACAATCTTCTTTCCATTATTTGATTTTGCTGAACTCCATTAAAAATTACGTTAGCATTTAATCCTGCAATGTCCAAAATGCGAAACCATATTACTTGAGGCCATCTACGAGTTCTTCTGCCAGTTTTATAGCATGCATATTTCTTATCCAATAAATCCACCCCACCTTTTGTCTCGTTGTAAAAATTTATAATCTCTGGCTTTCCATTAACCATTGTATTGGAATGATGCATAGTTGACACTAACAACACTGCACGATTTTTTTAGGTACAAAAGATACAAGGCTCTCGCTTCCTGTGAAACCAAATAAGGCAGAATTAGGTGGCCTGTTTTTTTGGGGTTTAAATTCAGCAGGAACCTCTCTTTAATTTCTTTTTAGAGTTTCAACATATGAAATGTTATGGCTTTTCAGTTCTTTTATGAGCTCAATGGACGAAAACCAATTATCTGCTGTTATGTTTCTATTTGTACCAGAAATTGGTGAAATAAGTGTCAAAACATCTAGAGTGGGGATGGATAACTTTTTTGGATTTGCTCTGGCTATATCTTTTCCAGTATATATAAAACCATTTAGCAAATAATGTGTTTTATTTTTTTGATACATCCTGAATTGGCACCTTCCTCTAAATGCAATAAGCATTTCATCTATTGTAAGATATTCACCACAGCTATAATTGGACTGGCAATTAATTATAAACATATTAAAAATATTGGATATAGCTGCCAGCTTATCGCCGTGCGCAATACGTTCTTGTCTAGTAGCTGGGTCGTCAAAACAAGGACTTCCAAGCAAAAAATAAAATCGGTTTAGTGACATGGTTGCTCGAAATATATCACGGCCAGTACCATTCGTTGCAAATAAAGACCTTAAATCTTCATTATTGGATTTAAATACCCCTGCTAAATATAATAAGCCTAAGAAGGCCTTTAATTCAATTACGTCAAGATGATTGGTATATTGACACGATAAATTGTGTAAATTATATTTAGAAGCCATATTAGTTATTCGTTCATTGGTTTTCTCAATAATTTCTTGCAATATATCGTGGCTAATAATACATTCCCAAGCATCAACTAGTTTCTCTGGCATAGTAGCACGAGCTTTTCCAATAACACCAGGTGAATGACTAATTAAATTATGCTTACGTGTACGAGAAAAGGTGGGAGAAGTTTTAGACGACTTGTACCTATTTTTGCCATAAAACACATCCCTTGAGTCAGCTATATCACTTTCTTCACCCGAATATTCACTACCAGTTTCGGAATTATTAATTTGCCAATTTTTTTCGTCACCATCGTCCCATTCCTCTTTACTGTTTTGTTTCGTGATCACTGTGTTCACTAGCCTGGTCTAAAAACTCACTGTCACTATCTAGTCCATAATTTTTTGTCCCTCCTTTTCAAGTTCTTTTTGTATCATTTCAAATTACTCGTTAATTGCACGAGAAACACTTATACCATAAGCGTGTCAAAATTGACCCTATGCGTGCCTAACTTTGCAGTAGTAACAGATAAACTAACGGAATTTCCGTAGATCGATAAATCACCTACCGGTCGAAGATTAGCAGAAAGCGCGCAATGCTCAATCTATATTTCGGTAACGAAACTTGGCATTAAAAACGCGGGGGGTCAATTTTGATCCCGCCATGGTACTTAAGGGTTAAAATTTCTTTATAAAAGACAATCGCAGATAAACAACTCAGGGGCGTACTACAAAATTTAAAACAGGATTTATATTATTATATAGATATTAAATATTAACAAATTTTAAACGCTACAAAATATTTTCCTCCTTATAACTTTGTCTTCTGAAGTAATAATACTGAACATTTTTTACAAGTTCTATATTGGAAACTTTTGTATACGAACTTAGGCATATGAAGCCTATTTTAATTAATTTCTTGTGATACTGAAATTAAAATTTGACGGAGTCATATAATGTAATCATATAATATCATATAATAAATACAATCTTGCTCGTGCTTAAAGTTAATTCCGTTTTCCATGTTGTTAGCAGCATTTGAGAATCAACTCGTTTGTTTTTGACTGTTGGGAGTTTTTCTAGTTCTCTGATTTCGCGTTTTCTTTTAATTTTAATGTTAGAGCATCGTAGTTTGGTTTAAGTTTATTTTATGTCTTGAGTTTAAGACATGTTGGGTAAGGGACGACGTTTTTTTTTTTTTCTACTTTCGATAGCATTTCAATAGAAATTAAGAAATGCATATTGTGAAAACAGCACTATCAAAAAACGGCTTTTTAACAGCAACGGCATTCCAAGTTTTTATCAGAAGAGGTTTTTTCCATCTCAATGTTGTAAGTCTAATTTGTTTTATTACTTTCGAAAAAGATTATACATGCAAAATATTCAAAAAGTACGAAGCGAATATGAGTAATAGACAGTAACGGCTTCGGAACAGTGGAAGCTCTGTATAGTTTCACAAGTCTTGCCCAAAAATATCGAGACCCACAAAAAGATCTTTTCTTTGTGTCCAATATCAAATCTTCAGAATTCATATCCGAAATTGGACAGTATAATTTTATCACCCAGTAGACCGAATAAATTTATTTGTTATTAAATACACACACGTAGTTAATTAGGTTACATACGAATTTGGTCAATTATCAACAATATAATTTGGACATCAGTCAAAAGTGCTGACAAAGTTAAACAATTTACATAAATTAGACACACATATCACGCGAGGCCCGCGAATATATTGACCCAATTAAAACTTATATAAAACTAATATCTCTTGCCTAGAGAAGCATTCAATCAATATTCACTCAAAAAACTTGATAGTCTTCAGCGATCAACTGCAACAGTCTCTACTCAAAGTAATCCCGGGTCAACACCCATAGTGTACGTCTCATCAATAAACTCTGCTACTATTATTTGGTGTTTCCATTACAACTGAACGAACATCTCCACTGAGCCAACGAAGGCTAATTGTTCACTTTGCATTTATAGACTATGAAAGAGCTTTCGACAAAAAATTAAACATAACATTCTCATGGAATGTGTATAGAGAAAAGCACTCGACAAAAATGACAATAACATAGTGAGAAATCTCTATTGGAACCAATAAGCTATGGTAAACTAAAAGGAAATAGCACGGATGCGCAACGGATAAGTAGAGGAGTGAGACATTGCTACGTACTTTCATTACTATTTAATATAATATTCCGAAGAGTTCTTTACGCAAGCACTTAAAAACTGTACAAAAGAGATCAAGAAAAATAATAACATCCGTTCTGCTGACGACACAGTTATTATCGCTGAAAGTGAGACAGACCTGCAGACGCTACTAAACACAATTTGTGATACTGGGGAACAGTTTAGTTTAACAATTAACATAAAGAAAACTAAAACTATGGTTATCAGTAAGAGTAATATCCAAAGATACTGTTTTTTTTAGAGTAGGTACATATTTATATGTATTTATTTGTTACCAGAAAGAATTAAAAAAAAAACACACGTGTAGGTTTTATTATCATTTATTTAATTTTTTTACATATTATTATCAAATAGCAATGGGATTTCAGCGGGTCTATATCGGTAGAGTTTAAGTAGTCATTAGGCGATTAGGCAAACATGTAATGCTAAAACAGAATTAGGAGTATTAATCTATAGCCAGAAGAATTTACTTTTTTCTAATTTAAATACAAAAACTAATTACAATATACAATGTTTCGACATTTTAGTTTAGAAATAGGAATCAACTACCTTACACAATATTGTCGTTTGATATGTTAACCCTTTCAGTTCTACTTATACTAAGTGACATAGAAATCCGAACACCCGGTTGAAATGATTTTATTTTAATAAAATTTTATAAAAGTACTTAATGAAGCATCATAAGTAAATGATTGCATTGCTTTAAAGCCCTTTTAACTTTAATAATGTGTGGATGTACCCCGATGTGTTACGCATTCTCTGACGCGCCTAGGCATGCTTCTGATCAGGTGGTCAATGTTCTCTTGTGGTATCTCATTCCAGGCAACCACCAACTCCTCTCGAAGTGCTTGTAGAGTCTGAGGAGGACGTTGCAAATTTAGCAATCTCCTACCCATCATATCCCATACATGCTCAATTGGGGATAAGTCAGGAGATCTTGGTGGACATGCTAACAATGTGACATCATTATTACAAGTTACAAAAAGTCTATTGTGACTCTTGCAACATGTGGTCGGGCATTATCTTGTTAGAAAGTTAGATTTGCCAGTGTGTCAAGATAGGGTAATGGTGGGGTTCTAGAACTTCGTGGATTTAACGCTGTGCGTTCATGTTATTTCTCATGAAGATTAAAGGTGACCTGGAACCATAAGCTATAGCACCCCAAACCATAACTCCAACAGTGTGATGAACTTGGCTTTCAACAAAAAACTGTGGATTCCTCCTTTCACCACGTCGCGTCGCCTTCTAACCCTCGCTCGACCATCGTGCATGCCTAAACAAAATCGAGACTCGTCACTAAAGACAATACTGTTCCATTCCTGATTCCAGAGTGACCGTTCTCTGCACCACTGAAGGCGATTATGGCGGTGTTCTAGAGTTAAAGGAAGGACTCAGTATGGTCGGTATTAAAACAGGCCAAAACTTCTCATTCGTCGGTAAACACTTTGAATGCCAATAGGTCTTCCGGGTTCTGCAAACCATTCATTTGCAAAGGAGCTGGTAGTGGAGAAACGGTCGCTTAAGGCCAATAATCTTGGGCAACGATTATGAAAGTTAACGAATAATAACCTTAGACTTATAACAAATAAAGCAAGTAATATAAATAATATAATTTTTTTCTTTAGAAAATGACGGAAGTATACTTCAGAAGTACTTATCGTAATGTCCCTCTGGAGAAACAATTTCATTGAAAAGGCTAAATTATTATTTAAATTCATTACGTGAATAAAATTACTCTTAACCATACTCACAGCGTCATCGATTCTCTTTTGGCTACATTTTTGCATCTGCCAGATTTTCTCGACCCAGTCATCTCCAGCTAAAATTCATTTTTGTAATATTAAAAAAATGTATGACCATTGGTTATGATGGCTTGTGTAGCATTACTTAAAAATTAGTAAAATTTGGTGATTTTTAAAATAATATTAAATTTTAAAATAATAATAATTTGGTGAAATATAATAACCTGAAACCAAACGATTCGTTTGAATGACACCAAAAGTGAAAAGATTATCAAAAATACAAAAGCTCTCATGGAAATACGACGAAACCTAAGCGAGAACGAAAAGCGAAACAAAGAAGAATATAAAAAACTAAATAAAAGAATTTTACCGGAAATTAGAAAAGATGTAAGAAGATATAATACTAATGTAATTACTCAAACAGTAGAAGAGAACAAAGGTTTAAAGATTATGAAAAGAAAACTCACAAAAAGTAAAAAAATATATACAAGCTGAGAGATAAAGGCGGAAAAGGCAACAACAGATAAACAAAACATTCTAAAAATAACCAGAGAGTTTTATAAAGACCTCTATACCAGCCTAAGACCACAAGACAATTTCCCGACACGAGTACAGACTCATAAATCAGGGATCGGAAATAATTTTACCCACTACTGTGTCAGAAGTAAGAGCAGCTTTAAAGGAAATGAACAACCATCGATCGCCTGGTGATGATGGACTCGTTATCGAGGCAATAAAAGCAGGTGGAGAAATTTTATTAAAATCAGTAAGCGAACTGTTTAATAAATGCTTATATGCGCGTACGATTCTAAAAGACTGAAACAATGCAGTAATAGTCTTGTTCCACAAAAATGGCGATATTACTAAATTGGAAAATTATAGACCCATCAGCCTCTTGACACATATGTACAAACTCTTTATGAAAATCTCAACAAAGAGGTTAACACCTAAACTTGATTTCTATCAGCCCAAAGAACAGGCGCAGGCTTCAGGGCAGGATATGGTACAAATGACCATTTGCATACCATAAAGATCTTAATAGAACAGTGCATCGAGTACAACATACTACTGGTTCTTGCATTTGTCGATTACGAGAACGCTTGTGATTCTGTAGAGTTTTAAAACAATACTGGAAGCCTTAAATCAAAGCCGAATAGATTACAGGTACACGACACTAATCAAAAACATCTACGAGAACGCTACATCAAGTATACGACTACACGAAGTCACAGAAAAATTCAGTTAGGTCCAGGAGTTAGACAAGGAGACAATATTTCACCAAAATTGTTCACGGCAGCTCTAGAGTCAATATTTAAGAGCACTCAATGGCAAGATATGGGCATCAATATAGATGGAGAAAGATTAAATCACCTAAGATTTGCAGATGATGTTGTATTAATTGCAGGTAATTTACAAGATACAGTTTCTATGAGGCATTCGCTTAAAAGTCTGTCTGAAAGAGCAGGATTAAAGATAAACTTTGAGAAAACTAAACTTATAACAAATCTCGTAATGGGTGGAAATATAACTATTGACAATAATACCATACAACAAACAGACACTTGCAAATATCTGGGACACGAAATCAAAATAAGCAGAGACAATCAAACACATAAAATACAGAGGCAAATAGGCCTAACTTGGGCAGCATTTGGCAAATTAAGCCATAGTCTAAAAAGTTTAATTCCCTTGTGTCTGAAGCGAAAGGTTTATAACCAATGTATTTTACATGGACAAATTTATGGAGCAGAGACTTTAACACTCACGCAAAAATCTGCGAATAAACTCAGAGTTACACAACGAGCCATGGAACGTGTAATGCTGAACGTGAGCCTTCGAGACCACATAACAAACCAACAAATCAGAAAAGATCAGGAGTTCAAGACGTCATCGAAAGAACCACGTCGCTTAAGTGGAACTGGGCAGGGCACTTAGCCAGAGCACAAGATGGACGGTGGACAAGACGTATTATGAAATGGAGACCCAGAAACTATAAAAGAAGTCGAGGACGACCACCGACTAGATGGATCGATGATATAAAAAGTGTAGAGAACACTGGAAATAACTGAGGAAAGCATAATGATAGTATACTAAGGTGCATTGGAGAAAATGTGCTTTTCTTTAACGTTAAAAAAACCAAATTCTTAAAAAAATATATACTTACGAGTTTCCTTTGCTTTTTTGTAGCATAGGGCGTAATTTATATAGTCAGCTTTGTGCATATTTGGTAGATAATGCCATGTTTTCTCAATATCTATGTTAAAGCCTTTTTTGATCTAAAAAAAGTACGTTATAGTCATTTGACAATTTTTTTAAAGATGGAAAGGTTCTGAATCTAATTTCTTGTTGCATTGTTAACTTAAATATTATGTTTTTTACAGAATTAGGCGACAATTATTGGCTGAAATTGTGATAAAAATCACATTTGTAATGACCTAGTAATTGAAGTTTCGATTCGTACTCCAGAAAGTGTTCTCAATGTATTTTGTACAAATTTGTAAAAATTAGTAAAACCAAAAATTTTGTTTTTGGTTATGCCGTTTCAATGTTGACATTCTTGACCTAGATCTTTTAGGCCAACAGCACCTAGTGGCTACAAGACATTTTTACCCTTTTGGTTGGTGTTTTTACCCTAGGAATATTAAATTTTGACTACTTTTGTGTGTTTCGTGTTATATTATGTTAACATGGAAAACATAACTTCTTCTCTTCTTTGGGTGCCGTCTTCTTAGCGAAGGTTGGCGATGACCTCTGCAAAGTCTTCCCTATTTTGGGCTTTCCTTATTAAAATTTGAAGGTCTAATCCTGTCCAATCTTTTATGTTGCGCAGCCAGGTCATTTGTCGTCTGCTTTGGCCGCGTCTGCCTTCTATTTTCCCTTCTATAATGAGCTGAAGGAAGTTATACCTGTCATGTCTAAATATGTGTCCAAGATAAGATGTTTTACGCTTCTTGACTGTGTTTTTCTATTTTGATATTTTATTACACCCAGTATAATAAGTACTTTTAATGTTTTTTTCTCATATTTTTATTTCTACGTCATCTTTACCGGAATTATCTTCTTATTCCCTAGCAGAGTCCTCTGTACTTCAATTTTATCTTGTTTTTTTAGAATCTTGAAACTGTACATTAGAATCTGATTCATCAAACAATCTTTGTAACCGTTCGCATTCCTTTTCGTACTTTATTTTTATTCACTATATCTGAGAATAACTTGAAAACAGATAGCTAGCTCTCTTTGTAAATACCTTAAAAACACAATACTGACTCACATCTCACATCTTGCCTGGTCAGACAGACGTCACCTAACCATTTCATGAAGGTACGTCATCTGATTTAGGTATTATTATTCGAGAGTGTAGGTACTAATAATTTAGCCAATGATTAAAATTATATAAAAATGACCAAGAGCAGGGTTAAGAACGTGCCTCATGAGAATAATAAGTCTGTGTTCTTCGTAACCCTTGTCATTTGGCTTCTTAAGAACAACAAGAAATGTTGACATAAGACAATCCCTAATAATGTGACTGGAGGGGTGCCGGTTTTCAACATTTCTCCAGGGAGAGTCTTGTATGCTAACAGTGTCTCTTTCAGCGGGTTTGTACTTGCTGTAAGTCCAATTGTTCCGCTAGCCTTTGACAGCTTAGTAAAGAAACTTAAATGGACTTTTAAAGAAGCTTTAATCTGGCCTGTTGAATAGATATAGAGTGAAATAAAACAATTTCTTGTTTAGCTAGAACTGTAATTGAAAAAGGGCAAGAAATAGAACTTATAAACTGTGAGTGAATAACTAATCGTAGGCACCTAATTAGAAAATTACAACTTACGAACGAAAACACCATAACACTTCACAATAAGGATTCAGATATATTTCGTAATTTGCGAAAGTGAAGAAAATCTCTCCGAAACTTGAAAGATAGGTCTAAGCCCTACGCCTGTCGCTAATGCACTGTCTTCCCGCAGCCCCACCGAAAATACTTGTTTATGCATTTTGGATATCGGCCGGTTTAGAAAGGTCAAGTAGGCGGAGATTAACATTCCCAGAAACAAGTCCATGCAGACTGGATTTAATTTTGCAACCGGCGCGAAAATATTTGCTTTAAATAGAATTATCTGTTTTGATATATAATTATTTGATTGGACATTATAGTTCTCCAACAGTGACATCTTCTTCTTCTTCTAGTTCCATGACCGTTATCGATCGTTGGATATCATGTTGGCTACCATATTCGCTATCGTGACTTTATTGACAGCAGCTCCAAATAACGATGTAGTTGATTTTCCATACCATTGCCTTAGACAGTGACATACATTTTGTTAAAAAGTTCACACAAGATTTTCCTATCTATTAGCTTCAGGACTTCAGAAAATAAATTTTTTGTGTATAGGATTACCAGCATTATACGAATGACGTATAAATATCTACTCAATTTTTTTAATATGCCAGGTACTTGATATAGTTTAGCAAAAGGATTAATACATAAACTGCTCTCTTTTAGAACTTGAAAGTAAAGCAGGAGAAAAAAAACTTTCCAGATTTGATTTGGATATTCACGCAAACCAAATATCCTAGTGCAAGTATAAGTTTTGTATTTATTTTATAAAAAAAAATTAAATTAATACAAAATAAATCTGAAATAAAATCGACTAATATATGATAATTTAAAATACTTACACCAAATATAATATCCCACAAACAGTAAGTATATCGCTAAAATCAAACAGAAATATTAATTAAAATACAATTATTCGTAAATACTAAAATATCTGTTACCTTAATGGCAATATTTTCTGGAAAACGTCCATTAATCATTGCCGTAATATCTTCCTCTGTAGTTCCAGTCATTCTTTTACATTTGTTATGCCATTCATTAAGATTTTCCAAAACTTGTGGTGGAAATTTCTAAAACAAAAATAGTACATTGTTTACCGGGTAGGAAAAGCTTAACATTCCTGGACGACTGTGAAGATTGCTAAGTCGAGGCGCAAGCCGAGACTTAGCAACACAGAGTCCAGGAATGTGGCTTTTCCTACGAGGTAAACATACTATTTTTCCGCAAATCGTTTAAAATTCGACAGATATTGATTGATTTTAAAAAAACGCGATAATTTTATTCCCAAATAAATGGTGCTTTGAAATTCCTAATAAAATTACTTGGGTTACTATGGAAACGTATTGAGGTGTTGAATTGTCAAACTTGACGCTTATTTATGTAGAACACTAACAACTGTACGAAAATATCATTTCCTTACAGTAAGGAAATGACATTTCCTTACAGTAAGGAAGTCCTGACTTTTTCTTCAAGAAATTTTGACAGGAATGTCAAAAATTTCCTGGCGATTTTGCGGAAAAATATATTACTATGCTTTAAATATTTATTAATATCTGAGAATTATTTATAATATACAATAGAAATATTTGTGATCAAACTCCAACGGTTTTATAAAACTTGGCTTAAAGTATATGATGTACCCAAGCCGATGACTGACATTTTGATTATTTTAATTTAAGCAATATATAGTTTTATAAATGTAAATGGAAAATGTTCCCCCTTTAACTTATTTTGTGCTTTGTTCATAGCAATTATCTTAACTTTCAAATTCGATGGTACACCTTGCGCTACTGGAAATTTTATTCATAATACTAACCCTTGTCACGCCACTGGATTATTTTCCTGCACCGAGAAAATGTGGATCACCTCCGCCAATGGTTTTGTGAAAAGATATTACCTATGTAGTGTGTTTTCTGCACAAGAAATTAAAAGAGGTCGCTGGAAAGAAACGGAAACAAGTATCCCAAAGTTTAGAAGACAGAAATGGACACAGAATATTAGACATCAATGAAAAGTTAAAATAATGGAAAAACTACATTTCTGAATTATTTGAAGATGAGAGAGTAGAACACTATACACCGATTGCTATATCAGGTCCATCTATAATAGAAAGTGAGGTAAGACGTTCAATACAAACGGCAAAAAATGGAAAAAAGCACTTGGCCCCGATGAAGTAAGTGCTGAAATACTAAAGTTTTTGGGAGAAAATGGAATTAAAGCTCTATGTAATCTCTTTAACAGAATTTATGACACTAGGATATTACCAACTGATTAGTTAAAGTCGACATTTGTCACAATACCTAAGAAACATCGTCCAAAGACATGCGGTGATTATCGGACAATAAGTCTGATGAGTCACGTTTTGAAGATTTTCCTGCGAGTAATACACAGCAGAATTTACACGCTGTTAGCAAGACAGAATTAGCAATACTTAATTTGGGTTTAGGAGTAGCTTGGGTACAAGAGAAGGCTTGTTTAGTATACAGGTGCTAGTACAGAGATGCAGAGATATAAATCAAAATGTGTACATTTGTGCAATCGGTTTTGAAAAAAGCTTTTGACAAAGTCCGACATAACAAAATGCTAGAAATATTGGAAACAGCTGGATTGGACGATAAAGATCTACAAATAATTACAAATCTATACTGGCATCAAGTGGCAAGGAAAAAGGTTTGAACAAGAAACTGTCGGATGAAATAAATATAAAAAGAGGAGTGAGACAAGGCTGGTATATTGTCGCCTTTACTTTTTAACTTATATTCGGAGGTAATATTTAAGAAAGCCTTAATGGAGACAACCGAAGGTATTACTGTGAATGGAGTAACCGTCAACAATATTAGATATGCCGGACGATACCTTAGTCCTTGTCAATTGCGGAGAAGACCTTCAAAATCTAATGAACAAAATAAAACAGACTTGTGATCAGTATGGATTAAAACTCAACGTTAAGAAAACTAAATATATGGTAGTTAATCAAACAAAATTATATACAGGATGACGGTATTAAAAGTCGGAGATGCCACCCTGGACAGAGTAGAGAAACTCGTGAGTATCTCGGCAGTAATATCAATGATGAGCTGGGATCCAACCGCAGAAATTAAAAGCCGAATAGAACAAGCCCGAGCTGCCTTTGTAAAAATGAGAAAACGTACTTTACAGTCACGATCTTAGCATTGACCTTAGAGTTCGTATGACATCTTGCTACATCTTTCCTGTCCTGCTGTATGGAGTGGAAGCGTGGACTCTAACTGAGGCTATGCTTAAACGCTTGACAGCCTTTGAGATGTGGGTGTACAGAGAGACTACTGAAAATAAGCTGCGTCGACAGAGTTAGAAATGAGGAGGTCCTTAGACGGCTGAGCCAAACACACAAACTGGTCAATATAATAAAGAAATGCATACTTCGGTCACATTATGAGACACCCTGAAAATATGATCTTTAACATCATGATCATTCGGGGAAAGATCCAAGATAATCGTGGTCCTGGTAGACGAAGAACATCATGGCTGAAAAATCCAAGGCAAATGGTATGGGAAAATCAACTACATCGTTATTTTGAGCTGCTCTGAATAAAGTCACGATAGCGAATATGGTAGCCAACATGATATCCAACGATCGATAACGATCATGGAACTAGAAGAATGTGTAAATTAGACTTTTTTAAATAAAAGATTAAACGTATTATTTTAGTCTTACTAAAAACATAGTCTTCCTTTTTTACATATTTACTTTAATGCAAGATGATTCACATTTGCGATTTACAAAAAATGTTATAATAATATTAATCGTTAGAAATACATTGTAATAAAACTAATAACGGAAATCAAAGTTTTTTGGAGAAAGCTAAAACTAAATTTGGAAGGATCTTTTTTGAGATTTTGGACAATATTATCACTCAATTAGAGCAACGTTTCTCGGATTACAAAAAGTTTCAATAACTGGAATTGGGCGATATATAAAAGATTCACAGAATATGGCGCTAAATTTACGATGTAATTTGCTGGCTTGGCACTACCCAATATTTTTACCACACCAGCCGCCACTGACCGATGAGCGACTCTCTAGGTTTGGGTATTTTCAGAACCCGTCTTGTAACCCGGATCAAGAAATCTAGCATGAGCATGAGTAATTGGAATATAACCAAACCTGAGATTTACCATGCGGTGACCGAGAAGTGATCAGCGGATTGCCCTTAAAAGCCTTTTATAAAAAACATATTTAAAAATTATTGCAATAATGAGGAGATACAGAGACTTTAAAGTAGAATAAGGCAAAGAAAAATAACTATCTTTCCATAAAAGTATAAACTTACACTCCTGTCCAATTTTCCATATGACGCAGCTACTAAACATCCCAAAATGACTGCTACAAACACAGCTCTCATTTTCTTTATGATTGGTTATATCTGGAACAAGTAAATTATTTGATTATATTAAGTTTTTCTATAGCATACCGCTAGATTAAAGAAAACCGCCAGAACAAAATATATTTCATTTCTTTTTTTTTTTCGAAATTAACTCAGTCGTTAGACACGAAAATACCAATGAACCTCTAAAAGTCATACGCTGAAAAACATGCTAAATTTTTCCGAAAATGTTAGTTAGGACGCTAACAAAGATGCAAAAAGTTTACCACTTTTACTTATCGGCTTTCACATGAAACGCCGTATCGTAGAGTGGGCCTCTATTAGTATACCAAACAATATTTAATATAGTAATACTAAAGATCTCCATTCTGATATCCGAAAAAATTTTAATGCTGTAAGTTATACCAACTTATAAGTTAATACAGATTTCTGCACCAACTGCTAACAAAAATAAAAAACAAATAGAAATTTTTTTCCACTGAACTTGAAAAAAATTACTCTCTTGATTTTTCCTCAGCGTTAAAAATCCAAATATAAGCGATAAACTATAAGCTATACAATATAACTAAATACAATTTGCGATTGTATTGTATGCTCTTTCGTCTGTTGTATAAGTTGATATAAGATTGAATGCTCGAATAAATGAACTTTGAAAAATTAAAGGCAGTTATATTGAGCACAATTTTAATAATGAAATATTGCCCAAGTACTTTCGCTTTCTACAGCATGGGCATTTTGTCAAATTTGGGCTAACCAGCATGCGCAGAATGTAATAAACATGAAATTAAACATAGATTGTACATAGGACTACACTAAAACAACACTAAAACAGTTTAAAATTATTTAAAAATTATTCTACGCTACATTTTTGTCGGCAACAGGAGAGAGAATGGTCATTTACTGTTTCCACCAAAGAAGATTGACTACAACGACCTTAGGATTATATCAAATTTATACTATAAACAGCGAGCAAAAGTACGATTTACCGAAGAGCACTCAGAAGAAATTAAAATTAGATTTGCAGTGAGATAGGGATGCGTATTGTCGCCAACTCATTTTAATGCCTACTTCGAAGAGATCCTAAAAAAAATCTCTTTAGGGTGAAAGTACACCCTAATACACCTAATATTAGCACTTTTGGTATTGTTCTTCTTCTTCTGCAATATGAAATTTATTGTCCTGCATTTGGTATTTGAGTCCATTTACGAATGTTTTGTAACCAAGAAACGTGTTTTCTTCCTACACCTCTACGGCCCTCTATTTTGACTTTAAGGATCAGTTGCAAAAATTTATATCAACTTCCCATTACTATATGTCCCGTATAAGACATTTTTCGATGTTTAAACAGTCTTTAGCAGTTCTCTGTCTTTGTTGACGTTCCTTAGTACTTCTTCATTAGTTTTTCTTACTGTCCAAGGTATTTTCAGCATTCGTCTATGAACCCACATTTCCAATGCTTCAATTTTGTTCATGATCGATACTTTTAGCGTCCACACTTCTGCACTATACAAAAGTACAGACTAAACATAGCACTTAACCATTCTTTGCCTTAGTTTTAATCTAAAATGGTTATTGCAAAGAAATGACTTCATTTTCATAACAGTAGTTTTAGTCATTGCTAGTTTACGTTTTATTTCTGTGTCTGAATCTAGTTGGTCCGTTATCACAGTTCCCAAATATGTCATTTTGTGAACTTTCTCAACTTGAACTTCGTTCAATTGAAGCTTTGCATCGGGATGTGGGTCACGACTAAACACTAAAAAATTTGGTTTTGTTTGAGTTTATATTTAATGCCCATTTCCTCTCCTACATCGTGAATACGATCAGGCAGAATTTGAAGACCTTCAATATTTATCTGATAGAATTACTGTATCGTCTGCATATCTAATCACATTAAGTAGTTCCCCGTTGATTTTTATTCCATATGGTTGTCTCTTAAGTGCCTTTTTAAATAAACTGGTCCTAGTAAATATTGAAACCATGTTGGCAACAAAATGCAACCTTGTCTGACTCCTATCAGACTATAGCAATTTGATTCCAATTAAAATTTTTTAATGACACGAATATCCTTGTCAGCTATTCCGATATTTTTTCAGTATTTGCATTAATTTTACACGCTGTACTTTATCGAATGCTTTTTCAAGTCCACGAAACATGCAAATACATCTTTTCTTTGCTCACGGCATTTTTGTAATAGGATGTTTAGCGCCAAAATAGTGCCTCCCTGGTTTCCATACCATTTCTAAAACCAAATTGGGTATGTTCAAGATTCTTCTTTGCATTTGCGTCTAATTCTGTTGTGAATTATTCTGAGGAAAATTTAAAGAGTGTAGCTCATAGGCTAATTAATCGATATTCTGAGCATTTTCTCGCATTGTGTTTTTTAGGTATTGCGTTTAAGATGGATTTGAGCCAATCTGCGGGATATCACTCCGGTGTTATATTATTGAATTAAAAAGTCTTACTACTATATTTATGTTTCATTCTCTATTAGTTTCAGCAACTCAGTTGGTGTATCATCTGGACCACAAGCTTTTCTAATTTTAGCATTATTTATAACGTGTTCTACCTCGCATTTCATAATTTCTGGGCCGTCAGTACAGTTTTTGTAGAATTCGGCATTATTCCTGTCATCTTTAACAACTCCGATATATACAGCTGTCATTCTTTTCTTATTTCTTGCTCGTTTACAATAATTTTGTTCTTAGTGTCAAAAAGTACAGAGGGAACTGGTTTTTTAAATATATTACTCATTTCTTTTAGTTTTTTGTACACATTAAATAAGTCGTGTTTAGATATTACATCCTCCATTTTGTCGCACCTTTCTCTCATCCATTTTCTTTTGGCTTGATCTCATTTTTTATTCTTTCGGCATACGTCTATATTCTTCGTCTATATTCTGTTACATTAGATTTTATCAGTCGACGTTTTTCCATTAATTTCAAGATGTCGTCTGTGATCCAGTTTTTTTATTAAGTTTTTTCTATAATCATTGCTTGTGGAGATTTCGTTAACATGGTTTTTAAATTCACCCCATAGTTCTTCTGGATCTTCTAGTTGTTCTCCAATGTTTTTTTCTATTGTTAAATTCTTTTTACAGTTGAGTACAGTCAACAGTATGGACTAAACATTAATACCCACAAAACGAAACAAATGATTACCAGCAAGGAGAATATAAACGGGGCTCATCTATACATTAATGGGACGCAGATAGAGCGAGTAAAACAGTATTGTTACCTGGGAACTATTATTAACGAACATTGAAGCAATTCACAGGAAATAAAGTGCCGCATAGGCAAGGCAAGAAACGGTCTTTAACAAAATGAGGGCCATCTTCAAAAGTCACAAAATATCCCTTGATACAAAAATGGGACATTTTAGATACTATGGTTTTCTCTGTGTTGTTGTACGGGGCGGAGGCATGGACGCTTACAGACACCACTATTATAAAAACTTGAAGCATTTGAGATGTGGCTTTATAGAAGAATGCTGAGAATATCATGGACAGCAAGGATCACGAACAAGGAAGTTCTAGGAAAATGAAGAAACGAACCAGAGATTGTCTTTGCGATCAAACGCATTAAAATTGCAATATCTGGGACACGTTATGAGAAATCAGCACCGTTACTCCCTGCTACAGTCTATACTGCAATGGTAAAGTCAAAAGGTAAGCGAGGACCTGGTAGAAGGAGAGAATATAATGGCTGCGGAATTTAAGAACATGGTTTAAGGAAACCTCAACGGAGCTGTTTCGAGCCGCAGCGAGTAAGGTTATGATTGCCAATATGATTTCCAACATCCGAAAGGGATAGGAATCAGAAGAAGAAGAAGAAGAAATTATTTTTTAATGTTATATTTTATTCGTTTTGAGCTTAGTTTAATATCTGCTTTTGGTATTGTGTAAATAAAAAAGTAAAAAAGGGGACTAATCTGTGCAGGTGTAAAGAAAAGGATCGGTTGGAATTGTTTGTTTTGTACGGCAAATATTGCGTCGCATTTACACGTCAGATATGTTGTAAATAATCCTTTCTTAGAATATATAAAAAAACCCTAAGGTAATACAAATTTTGGAGATTTATGAGGAAATAAAATAAGTTAAAAAAAGACATTTAACAAAAACTCGTTATTTTTGTGGTAAATATATTGTAAAGAAATAATAGTACAGAGGAGTAGTCTGAATTATTAATAAAAGATATATATGAGGGCCTTACAAAAATATGTTACAGGGGCCAAATTATGAACCCCTTTAGTTATATAAGATAAAAAAATATTTGTTTGGAAGTAAAAATAGGTATATAAAGTAAAAAAATAGTCACGAAAATAAGAAGTTGACACAAGGTAAACCTTTGTAAATGAAAATGAAGTAGATACCACTGAGTTAAATAGCAAAATACGAGAAGGAAAAAAAACCAGTTTGAAGCAGATAAAAAGAAGATTTAAATAAAATAAATGTGGAAAACAAAATATAAATAAATAACACAAAAAATAGATAGTATTATTTTTGACATAAAAAGCACTTTCACATTTAAATTTTTTATTTAAAATTTGTTAGGATTCGGTTTTAAAAAATTATTGAACAGAACTGAGAAGATGTCCATAAAAAAACAAATTCTTAGAACATGACCATGATCCAAAAGGTGAAGATTGGAACAATCAAAAATTAAGAAAGGATTGGTGAAGATAATGTTTCTCTCATGTATTATCTCACCCGTTATAATTTTATCAGATAATAATTTAGCGTTGAATATTTTGACGCTAAATTTAAAACTAGACAAAAATATAAAAAACTCATAAAATCTAGAAAATATTTACAAACCAATAAAAAAACTCATATCTATTTTACGCTATATGCACTAAAAAATTCTCAAAATGTTCTTATACCCTGCAACTTACTTGGTTTACCAAATGTTGAAGCACGTTGAACAACTGTAGAAGAATTAAAAATTTTTGTTCTTTTATAGTCAAATAAAACACAATAAAATGTAATCTTTATATTAGGCAGTAATGTACAATGTTTAATTAATTCGGACATTGATGGA